GGAGATAAAAAACACAGCGACAGATGTTTTCAGCAAAGTTGAATTCGGCCACTGTGTCATGATCTACCTAGTTTTAAAAGTTCACACACACACACACACAAACACACACACACACACACACACACACACACACGCACACATATATATATATATATATATATATATATATATATATATATATATATATATATATATATATATATATATATATATATATATATCCTACGGCAGCATAAAACAGAAGTAAGCAAAACAAAAACACAATAACAAACACAATAACACACACAACAGAATAGAACCTAACTGAAGAGATCAGAACCGAACAAAACACTTCGTAAAACTTCTGGCACAACTCTAATGCTGATGTAACAAACGGTATGTGAAAGTTAACCTCATTTAATCCTAACCCAAAAACAAAAAGCATAATGTCCATGTTACACTAAACCTAATCTAAGACCTAATTTAACCTAATTTAATCCTAACCCCAAAGCAAAAAGTATTTTAAAAAATGTCCATGTTACACTAAACCTAATCTAAGACCTAATTTAACCTAATTTAACCCTAACCCAAAAACAAAAAAAATTAATATCCATGTTACACTAAACCTAATCTAAGGCTTAACTAAGCCTTACATCTGAAGCGTATACCAAAGTTTACTCATAAACTTAGCTAGTAATTAGTGGGTTTTTTTTTTTTTTAGAAACCATAAATAAAATGGTCATCAATAACATCTTGTATGTCACATATGTTATTGACGTTATGTTGAAAATATAAACATAACGGGAATTAAAAATGAACAGGATTAAGAACAGATAAAATTATGAAAAGTAATATAGCCAAGCCAAAAATGTATACGTCGATAGATCTAAAAGATCTAAAAGATTTTTAATACTTATTTTATTCACAAATTAGAAAAAAAAAAATCTTCAAATGAGAAAAAAAATCTTAAGACAAAAATATTTTGTATAGTTTTTAAAGTTGTATAACCCACTTTTGTAACTAAAATCATCTGATTTTTGTTTTTGAAAATCCATTATTTAAATACCTTTTTTTTCAACACGGTTGGGAAGGCTTACGGACTATTCTGTTATGGATAGTTGCTCTTTAAGACGCTTTCTTAGTCCAACAATTGCACAGACAGTATGATGTGTTTTTTTTGTCCTAAGGGGGTCATCCATAAATGACGTCACGCTTTTTTGACGATTTTTACCTCTCCCCCCCCCCCCTCCCCTCCGTCACACATCGTCACAAAAAGCCTATTGCAATTTATTAAAACAGTTTTCGAAAACGCGAAATAACGTCTAAAATTCGTTTTCTAAAATTGCTTTTTTTTATAATGCAAAAGTGTGACGTCGCACCATCTGAACGCCCCCCCCCCCCCCTTTCCCCCTCGTCACACACCGTCACAAAATTACGGACCCCCCCCCCCCCTGTGAGTGTGACGTTATTTATGGACGACCTCTAACCAATAGTTGAGCAGTCGCTTTATTTGGACATAACGACCTTCCACGTGCAAATAAATTAGCAACCCATCCCCAACCTCATTAAATTTGAATTTATAATTCAGTATTTAATTACAAAACATACGTGGGAGAAAAATCAATAATGTAATTGATTTAAAAAATTGTAATGTTTGAAATGAAACTTGAATAGAAAAAGGATTTCAATTGGTTCAAAATTTTCCTGCTCAAAACAAAAACATTGTCGTGAACACAGCTCACACCAGCCTCGTTATGAATTCTGTGTGTTATTGGTTCAAGGATGCTACATCGTATAAACCACCCAATTATGTTAATGTCCGTGTATAATACATCTTTAACAAATAGAAAACATTCTATAATTTAATGCACAGAAAACTTTATTATAGACTAAAAAAATTAATGTGTATGTTGTATTTGTAGGGTAGTTCTACTTGAAATTCTAATTCAGTTGCGTGCATTTAATTATATTTAATAGCAGCATATTTTTATTGGAAAATTATGGACGATTTTAATTAGAATCCGATTACAATCTGCATAATGAGTGTTTTCGTTTTGAAATTGATGCTTAGATCAATAATACAGGACAGCGAAAAAAAATATTACATATGACCATGGATATTAATCAGTGGCGTAGCCAGGATCGTCTCAATGGGGGGGGGGGGTTCCAATTTTTACCCGGGGACAAACTTTCGATTTGCACCCCCCCCCCCTCAGACTTTTGATTTGCACCCCCCTCAAACTTTCGATTTGCACCCCCCCCCCCCCCCCCTCAGACTTTTGACTTGCACCCCCCTCAAACTTTCGATTTGCACCCCCCTCATACTTTATATATATATATATATATATATATATATATATATATATATATATATATATATATATATATATATATATATATATATATATATATATATATATATATACCCCTAACCCCCCCCCCCCCTGCCTACGCCACTGATATTAATTAAAATTTATCAACAATAATCTAAAACAACTGTTGCAATACTGTCTCTGTCAGATGAGATATGTATTATTGTTACACTTTCTACGGGTTGTATGCGATTTACTAATATAACATTCGAGTGGAAATATTCCTTCCCACCACTTTTTGTATTCCTTTGGGCTCTCAGAGAAACAAGCATGGGGTCGCTGTGACATCATTCACTACAACGAACACCATTGGTGGCTATTTTTAAATCCAACCCACGACAGTCCGAAACACCCCTCTTAAAAGATCTCCTCCAGGTTGATTTGGGTATCCCCCCCCCTCTTCCCTTTTCCTGTGAAATACACTCCAGAGCTTTACTGTTGGTGTTACTATCTGCCTTTCTAAGGAAGTGCCAGATATATCGATGCAATATTGAGTTGGTCTCGCTTTCATAGGCGTGATTGAGACAATGTTTCACATACATCTGCGTTTTTCAGAAATTTGACATTCACATAACACATACATGCATACTTGTGAAATATACTCTTACGTAATTAAATATATTTTAGGCCCTTCATTCGCCAACCTCCCCCCCCCCCCCACCCCTACGTCAAGCCATTTTCATTACTCCCTTCCTTTCCCCCACCCAACTCTTTCTCTCCACATCCAACCCCTACCCTCCCCCCACCCACCACGTCATACTATCTTCATTACTCCCTTCCTTCCCCCCCCCCACCCACCCAACTCGATCTCTCCACCCCCACCACCCCCGCTTTATCTCATCACCATTCCTCCGACACCAACATCCACACATCCCAGGTCAACAAACTTTTTTTTTGTACTTTTATCTGACGTCATGTTTGTCCATTTGAACAGCTGGGTCAGCCTGACCTAGACAATTACACACATTAATTACACCACGTCAGCCCCCTATTGATTGACTCCACCCCCGGGCCAACTCCAGCCACTCAGCGTGGGTCCACCTGTCATTGTTTAACCCTAACCTTTAACCTGTAACCTTGTTCGGAGATCGAATTCCGAAGCTCTGCCTTGAGGGTTAAAATAACGGTAGTGACTAAATATTAAACTAATTTGTTCGAACGCCGAAGCATTTTTAGGCTAAAATATTTTAGCATTCGAATTACCAACCCTCATTTAAACTAGTTTGAGGTGGAATGTTATCGTTTGCAGTGAGATTGTTGGATGGGGGTGGTGTTGCTTGGAATTGCTGTTATTCTGGATGTTCGTTCTACGAGGTTTTTATTTTACTGGGGGTTGTGTAGGAATTTGTTCGTTAATGGGGACTTGAAGTGTCGGTAAATCGGGGTTTTAGTGATTTGAAATGTTGGTTTGAGGTGTAGGAATATGGCTTGTTTGCTTCTGTCTGTCTGTCTGTCTGTCTGTCTGTCTGTCTGTCTGTCTGTCTGTCTGTCTGTCTGTCTGTCTGTCTGTCTGTCTGTCGGTCTGTCTGTCTGTCTGTCTGTCTGTCTGTCTGTCTGTCTGTCTGTCTGTCTGTCTGTCTGTCTGTCTGTCTGTCTGTCTGTCTGTCTGTCTGTCTGTCTGTCTGTCTGTCTGTCTGTCTGTCTGTCTGTCTGTCTGTCTGTCTGTCTGTCTGTCTGTCTGTCTGTCTGTCTGTCTGTCTGTCTGTCTGTCTGTCTGTCTGTCTGTCTGTCTGTCTGTCTGTCTGTCTGTCTGTCTGTCTGTCTGTCTGTCTGTCTGTCTGTCTGTCTGTCTGTCTGTCTGTCTGTCTGTCTGTCTGTCTGTCTGTCTGTCTGTCTGTCTGTCTGTCTGTCTGTCTGTCTGTCTGTCTGTCTGTCTGTCTGTCTGTCTGTCTGTCTGTCTGTCTGTCTGTCTGTCTGTCTGTCTGTCTGTCTGTCTGTCTGTCTGTCTGTCCGCCTATATATCTATATATGAATATATATATATATATATATATATATATATATATATATATATATATATATATATATATATATATATATATATATATATATATATATATATATATATATATATATATATATATATATATATATATATATATATATATATATATATATATATATATATATATATATATATATATATATATATATATATATATATATGAATTTATTTCAAAATAGGCTTATGTAAAGCTAACATTGTCGACAAAAAAAGGAAATACAAAATTATATGAATACAAAAGACACATATAACACACACACACACAAACTGGCACGTGCGCACTCACAGAAAATGCCTCACACTCTCAAACACACAAACAAAGAGAGCTCATCCATCAATAAAACAATGCCCTCCGTAATGTTTACTTCAAATCATCCGAGTGTACCCGGGCGTGCGTCGCTACAACTGGCGTTAACTTGGGTCGACCAAAGCACGATTTGGTAGCAAAAGAATCTTTCATAGGCGCTGGTAACACTTGTGTTCGATATATATATATATATATATATATATATATATATATATATATATATATATATATATATAAATTCGTAGTAGCGCATTTCTAATTGCATGTTGTTAAACGTTGTTGGGTCACCCATCTCTGGAATAAAATTTTTTTATTAATTACCACTAATTAATTTCAGCCTAGATGACGTAGCCACGATGGTGCTGGTGCTATACCCACGGGAGCGAGCCCACAAGCCCCTGTCCCACCGGAAGTGGAACAACCTGGCTCTCGCCCTCGTCTGCGCCACCTGCGTGTTCATTCTCATCCCGAAGGGGAACTTCTATGACGTCACATTCCACGTACGTCACATCACCTCCATCACCATGACGTCAGATTTGAGCGCGGATGACCTCCGCCTAAAACAGTTCAATTCTTTGACCTTTGAACCTGAACAATTGGATTATAATTTAGAGAACCCGTCAAAGTTTGATTTCTCCCGCGGCCAATCGAAAATTATCGACGAGCTACTGGGCCGAAAGGTAAACACGTTTTATTTGCTTGGCAATGTTCCGGTTATGGGTAATCAAATTACTTGTACTGGCCGACTTATCTGGGTTTTGCTGAAACACGGGAAAATCCAAACATATACATGAAATCGGGAAAAGGGTGTTTAAAATTGATAATTGGATGACATTTACCTAATATTTTACTAATGCAAACCTCAGATGAACAGATGTTCATTCTTTACCTTTATATTCAAATCCACCCTTCTGCTTAAACTTTAACTTTATATTTCATCCTATCTATATATATACAATTTATCTAACTGTATTTTCCAACTCATCTTTCTAATTAAACTTTCCTTAACTTAATATTCCAACCCACCTTTTTACATAACATTTCTCTAACTATTTTCCAACTCATCTTTCTAATTAAACTTTCCTTAACTTAATATTCCAACCCACCTTTTTACATAACATTTCTCCAACTATTTTCCAACTCATCTTTCTAATTAAACTTTCCTTAACTTAATATTCCAACCCACCTTTCTCTTTAAACTAACCAAAACATATTTTGATTTGGAAACGAAACTGTTGCTCGCAAAAAAAAAAAAAAAAAAAAAAAAAAAAAAATCTCCGTTATGTAAATAATTTATAATTTGTCTTCCCTAAATATATCCGTGTTTTCAGTTTTCCGACGAAGGCTTTTACTTTTGGTCGAAGCGTGTCCTGTTACCTCTATAAGTTTAATTTAACTTCCTTCTCAAAATAAAAAAAGAAAGAGTATTATTTTTGTTAAATTCTAAATACACTTCCCTTTTTTATCAGACGTATTACATATCCTTTGATAACAGATACATTTTATACCGCTTTGTGTGGGCTTTTGTGTATTCTGTTCACGAACTATTTTACATGAAGTTTTTATCCTGTTTGTACGGTGACTTCTGTGCGGTATTTTTTATCTTGATGTTAATCTTTATAACACGTCTGGTGGATTAGCTAACAAAGTCACTTGATTGATGTTAACGGGGCTTTAATTAGTGTAATGATTTGTCTGGCTTTTGATCACTTGGTTGGCGACGTTTAATTGAAGCAAGTCAAGTAAAGGCCGTCAAAATCAATTAAAAACAATGGCTAAAATATCATCTGATATAATCAGCCACTTAATTTTGAATCAAATCGTGTTGGGATCTCATCATGTTGTTGTAGGTGTTAGTGTTGTTATAGAACAATGTTGTTGTAGGTGTTAGTGGTGGTATAGAATAATGTTGTTGTAGGTTTTAGTGGTGGTATAAAACAATGTTGTTGTAGGTGTTAGTGTTGTTATAGAACGATGTTGTTGTAGGTGTTAGTGGTGTTATAGAACAATGTTGGTGTAGGTGTTAGTGGTGGTATAGAACAATGTTGGTGTAGGTGTTAGTGGTGGTATAGAACAATGTTGTTGTTGGTGTTAGTGTTGGTATAGAACAATGTTGTTGTAGATGTTAGTGTTGGTATAGAACAATGTTGTTGTATGTGTTAGTGGTGGTATAGAACAATGTTGTTGTAGATGTTAGTGTTGGTATAGAACAATGTTGTTGTAGGTGTTAGTGGTAATATAGAACAATGTTGTTGTAGATGTTAGTGGTGGTATAGAACAATGTTGTTGTAGGTGTTGGTGGTAGTATAGAACAATGTTGTTGTAGGTGTTAGTGATGGTGTAGAACAATGTTGTTGTAGGTGTTAGTGTTGGTATATAACAATGTTGTTGTAGGTGTTAGTGTTGGTATAGAACAATGTTGTTGTAGATGTTAGTGTTGGTATAGAACAATGTTGTTGTATGTGTTAGTGGTGGTATAGAACAATGTTGTTGGTGTTAGTGTTGGTATAGAACAATGTTGTTGTAGGTGTTAGTGTTGGTATAGAACAATGTTGTTGTAGGTGTTAGTGTTGTTATAGAACAATGTTGTTGTAGATGTTAGTGTTGGTATAGAACAATGTTGTTGTATGTGTTAGTGGTGGTATAGAACAATGTTGTTGGTGTTAGTGTTGGTATAGAACAATGTTGTTGTAGGTGTTAGTGGTGGTATACAACAATGTTGTTGTAGGTGTTGTTATAGAACAATGTTGTTGTAGGTGTTAGTGTTGGTATAAAACAATGTTGTTGTAGGTGTTAGTGGTGGTATAGAACAATGTTGTTGTATGTGTTAGTGGTGGTATAGAACAATGTTGTTGGTGTTAGTGTTGGTATAGAACAATGTTGTTGTAGGTGTTAGTGGTGGTATACAACAATGTTGTTGTAGGTGTTGTTATAGAACAATGTTGTTGTAGGTGTTAGTGTTGGTATAAAACAATGTTGTTGTAGGTGTTAGTGGTGGTATACAACAATGTTGTTGTAGATGTTGGTGGTGGTATACAACAATGTTGTTGTAGGTGTTAGTGGTGGTATAGAACAATGTTGTTGTAGGTGTTAGTGTTGGTATAGAACAATGTTGTTGTAGATGTTAATTTTGTTATAGAACAATGTTGTTGTAGGTGTTGGTGGTGGTATAGAACAATGTTGTTGTAGGTGTTAGTGTTGGTATAGAACAATGTTGTTGTAGGTGTTAGTGTTGGTATAAAACAATGTTGTTGTAGGTGTTAGTGTTGGTATAGAACAATGTTGTTGTTGGTGTTAATGGTGGTATAGAGCAATAGTGTTGTATGTGTTAGTGTTGTTATAGAACAATGTTTTTGTAGATGTTAGTGGTGGTATAAAACAATGTTGTAGGTGTTAGGGGAGGTAAAAAAACAAAATTTCTATAGAGCTATGTGTGCGATCTCACACATGTATCTCACACTTAGTGGGTCACAACTATCATTTGAATATTGCACCAGGAAAGATCGAATAGTAAACCTACCCAAGACGTTTATCAAACCATTCTAAATCCGTCTTGTAAATAGCGTTCTGTGACCTCGATTCTATTAAATTATAAATTAAACATCAGTCAGTGTTTTTTGTTCAGTCTGAGAATGTCATGACTGACTGTTGAAATATGACGTGAGGACGGGGTATCATTGTCAGGTTTGGTGTCAGGTTTCTATGTAACAGTGCAGAGGTCTGGTCTAGTGCTTCTATCTTCTAAAGTGCTTTGTTTGTTTGGTCAGATATGTGTAGGGTCTCAGTATAAAGTACTTGATCAGCGGTTTTGTTCTCTGTTGATGTAGATTCGAGGCTTTGTATAGCCACCACCTGTAGTGTCAAGTATATTTTTTTAAAGTCAGAAATGTTGTGCCCCTTCTTTAATAAAATGTGGCGCCATGCGTCATACAATCCATCATGCGTCAGACAGTACATCATGCGTCATACAGTATATCATGCGTCATACAGTCCATCATGCGTCAGACAGTACATAAGCGTCAAACAATACATCGCGCATCATACAGTAGATCATGCGTCATACAGTCCATCATGCGTCATACATCATGTGCCATATGTGGTATCAAGTGACGTCACGGCACGTGATCATAACCGAAACTCCTTCCCCTAAAATGTGTTGAGGATGGAAGGGGACTTGTAATTGTGCATCATAACTGCTTATAAAAATCTAATATAAAATTTAAATGAAAGACACGCTGATCTATATATAGTCTCTGGTTTATTGATAACGTATACAGATTATTCTACAGTTTAGGCTAAAGACTAGGCTAACGATTAGGTCACAGATAAGGCTATATATTTGACTATAGCTAAAGATAGAAATTAATTATTTACCTGTATTTAATTGAACCGGGGGCCAATTAGAATTTAGACAAAGTGATGCTAGAGCGGAATCTAAAATGTCTGAGACAAACATTAAAAGCAGGAGCAAAACTTTAAAACGCGCAAAATGTATAAAAAGCAAAACCAAACTCTCAAATAAAAATGCTAAACACATGTTTAGAAATCTCACAAAACACATGAATACAATCGCAAAACACACGAGGAAAAAACACATTATAACGGATAAACCAAATAAAATAAATACAAGCAACAAAACACATTTTAAAATGCAAATCACAAGCTAATTATACAATTACTACAGCCAACATTTGAGAAGATTTTATTAGCCAATAAAATGTATGAATAACATTCGTCACGCAGGATTGTTGCATAAAAAAAACATGTTTATGTTAATTTATGCTAATAGGGGTAGGTAACTCTGGACCACATACCAGTAATTTAATGTAAGTGTCGTCTGCGCAGGTTAAAATAACAAACATCACATGACACAGCCGTGTGTAGATGGGATGATGGTGTGTCAGATGGTAGTTCGACATTTTTAACATCAAACATCACATGATACACAACATCACACGACACACAACATCACATGACAGAAACATCACACGACACACAACATCACATGACAGAAACATCACACGACACACAACATCACATGACAGAAACATCACACGACACACAACATCACACGACACACAACATCACATGACACACAAACATCACATGACACACAGTAGCGTGTTGCTGGGATGATGTGTGTCAGATGGTAGTTCGACATCTTCAACATCAACCATCACCAGCCCGCGTGTAGCTGGGATGATGGTGTGTCGCCATATTGTCTACCTACTACACTGATATTTGTTAGGTTCAACCTGTTGCCAATTATTTGTTAGCTCTGCCATAATGGCTAACTTAGCAAGTTAACAAAGTACTTGAATGACAATCTTGCAAGCAGATAAATCTGGAACACTCTTCTGCACACACACACACACACACACATACATTCATACACACACATATACACACACAAACACCTGCTTTGAGGGGTTTTTTTTTGCAATTTAAATAACGTTGCCTAAATCTACAAAAGCGTTTTAAAAAAAGACGTTGCCATTTATTTTACCACTAGCCATCGGTACCTGTTACATGTGAAATGTTGTAATTGTTTAAGAAAAATATTTTATAAAATAGTGATTGGTCAAAACGCTATGTGCTTTACCACGCGTTGAGAGATATTAGTGACAAAGCAAAGAAATAACTAAATAGCTTAAAATCAGACAAATTTAATATAACGTAGGCTTCTAATACCTATAAGAAAAATTAAAACCAAATCATATACATTATTAGTCAACACAACACCTTATTAAATGCACACTCGGATTAAGTGAATTAATGATTCCGTTAAACATTCGTCTATTCAATGGTATTTTTGTTAATTTTTATACTAATTCATTTTATTATTTTGGCCGAGAAAATCGTATCAGTTTCATAACTTACATATTGATACAAAAATCTATAGATTCCTAGGTCTAATTTCAAATTTGAATGAAATAGTTATTTCTTCATATTCTAAAATTGGAAGATGTGGGAAGCAAATTTTATTGAAGATGACGTCATTCGTATTGTGTATCATTTTAGACATTCGATGTTAATTTTTATTAAACTTTTTATCCTACGATCAATGGCATCATTAGTGTTGTGTACTTTTCTTGTTTAAACTTTTAATTAATATTGTTTCATAGGATTTTTTCCTATTTGTATTATGTGACGTCATTCTGTTTACCGGTTCTTGTCACAACTATAAACACTTCTCCAGTTGTATAATTAAAGTTGTGTTTCCACATTAATATATGCCTTTATTTTTATTTTCCTTCTATAAATAAAATTTTGTTTATACATTTAATACATCCAACATATTACTCTCAACAAAAGTCCGTATCATTTAGTTCACCATACATTGTTGAAGATACTGATCTCATGGCCTCGGAAAATATGTTGCCAGCAGAGAAAGTACATTGGCTTTTTACAAGCTTTTATTTAACTCACTTCCTCGTCAGTCGACAGTCTGTCTGTCTAGACGGAAACGCAGGAGTGAAAATTCGGACAGTTCTACTTGACCGACACGATTCACAGTTGGCACGTGGATCAAGACATGAAGACAATGCAATCTGAAACTAAATTTGACTTAATTGGATGCCTAATTGATTTTTTATGAATTAATTAAAATTTGGACCGAATTAGTAGGCATGTCTAGCCAACCACACCACACGCGTCATCAATAGCTGCGCCATCACGACCACGTAATGGCTGCGTTCAAAAACCATTGCGCGCCTACTGAACGTGATATTCAGTAGGCGCGCAATGGTTTTTAGTCATGTAACTCTATTGTAGATAAAACAAGTAAAGTACTGAAAAAAAAATTCATAAAAAACGTTTTAATAACAAGCTTTTATGTAATGATGCACTAAAAAGTAGAAAATAAATTATAGACTACTATTTAAATAACTATAAAGAAAAGCGTGGGTGTCTTCCTTAACATTAGTAAAGGTATCCAATAGATACTAAAGTGACCCACGCTTTTCTTTATAGTTATTTAAATAGTAGTCTATAATTTATTTTCTACTTTTTAGTGCATCATTACATAAAAGCTTGTTATTAAAACGTTTTTTATGAATTTTTTATACATTAGGATTACAATACAACCTATTCTATTTCACCAAGTGCTTTACGTGAAAATAACATGAGCCGATGCAGGTTTTCGCGTAGAGTCAAAAGGCGATATATATATATATATATATATATATATATATATATATATATATATATATATATATATATATATATATATATATATATATATATATAAAGGGATATATATATATATATATATATATATATATATATATATATATATGTATATATATATATATATATATATATATATATATATGTATATATATATATATATATATATATATATATATATATATATTTACCAATTTCGACCTTGACCTTGCAGGAAGAAGGTTTCTTCCTTGACCTTGGTGCCGGTGACGGAGAGACCAACTCTGTCAGTCTGTTCTTTGAGCGCCATCGTCACTGGAACGGCGTCCTGCTAGAGGGGGACGAGGACACGTTCAGACGTCTGCTGGCCAAGAACAGGCGCGCCATCTGCTGGAACTTTCGGCTGAGGTTCGACTCGGGGGTGAGTGGGGCTTTTGTTGTCCAGATATCTCGGGGGGTGAGTGGGGCTTTTGTTATCCAGATATCTCGGGGGGGGGGGGGGTGAGTGAGGTTTTGTTGTCCAGATATCTCGGGGGGGGGGGGGAGTGGGGTTTTGTTGTCCAGATATCTCGGGGGAGGGGGGGGGAGTGGGGTTTTGTTGTCCAGATATCTCGGGGGGGGGGAGTGGGGTTTTATTGTCCAGATATCTCGGGGGAGGGGGGGGAGTGGGGTTTTATTGTCCAGATATCTCGGGGGGGGGGGGAGTGGGGTTTTGTTGTCCAGATATCTCGGGGGGGGGGGGGGAGTGGGGTTTTGTTGTCCAGATATCTCGGGGGGGGGGGGAGTGGGGTTTTGTTGTCCAGATATCTCGGGGGGGGGAGTGGGGTTTTGTTGTCCAGATATCTCGGGGGGGGGGAGTGGGGTTTTGTTGTCCAGATATCTCGGGGGGGGGGGGGGGAGTGGGGTTTTGTTGTCCAGATATCTCGGGGGGGGGGGAGTGGGGTTTTGTTGTCCAGATATCTCGGGGGGGGGGGGGAGTGGGGTTTTGTTGTCCAGATATCTCGGGGGGGGGGAGTGGGGTTTTGTTGTCCAGATATCTCGGGGGGGGGGAGTGGGGTTTTGTTGTCCAGATATCTCGGGGGGGGGAGTGGGGTTTTGTTGTCCAGATATCTCGGGGGGGGGGAGTGGGGTTTTGTTGTCCAGATATCTCGGGGGGGGGGGAGTGGGGTTTTGTTGTCCAGATATCTCGGGGGGGGGGGGAGTGGGGTTTTGTTGTCCAGATATCTCGGGGGGGGGGAGTGGGGTTTTGTTGTCCAGATATCTCGGGGGGGGGAGTGGGGTTTTGTTGTCCAGATATCTCGGGGGGGGGGAGTGGGGTTTTATTGTCCAGATATCTCGGGGGGGGGGAGTGGGGTTTTGTTGTCCAGATATCTCGGGGGGGGGGGGAGTGGGGTTTTGTTGTCCAGATATCTCGGGGGGGGGGGGGAGTGGGGTTTTGTTGTCCAGATATCTCGGGGGGGGGGAGTGGGGTTTTGTTGTCCAGATATCTCGGGGGGGGGGGAGTGGGGTTTTGTTGTCCAGATATCTCGGGGGGGGGGGGGAGTGGGGTTTTGTTGTCCAGATATCTCGGGGGGGGGGAGTGGGGTTTTGTTGTCCAGATATCTCGGGGGGGGGGGGGGGGAGTGGGGTTTTGTTGTCCAGATATCCCACCCAGCTACTATCACATAACATCTTGTCCCGACCCCCCCCCCCCCCCGCGCCAACCCTCACTAATCCAATCCATAATTTCTCCCTCTTTCACCTCTTCGTGGTTCTTTGGTCTAAATTTAACCCATGACGTCACTTCCCATTTCCCATTGTTTTAATTTAATTTGCATATGACCTTGACCGCGAAAAAAAAAAGAATCTTGCGCTGAAGTGTTTAATTTGCTCAAATATCAAACTATCGATTTCACTTAATCAATTGACAAATCTCGAACTAATCGAAAACTATCGATTCTTGCGGGAAAGTCATCGATTCTCGCAGGGAAATTATCGATTATTGAGGGTCGTTTTACGATCAAGTGCCGATACTTCCCATTTAGCTATAGGGGTAGTTGTAGAAATTGTTGACATCAATCCCTTATCCCCACATTTTTGTTGACATCAATCCCTTATCCCACACTATTTTAACTCCAATCCCTTAAATCCTCACTATTGTTGGTATCAATAGAAGGAAAAGCAGGCTCAAATCGGAGTCAATTGCCTCAATGGCGCATAACCAGTTGATACGTATCCTTAATTGTGTTGGAGGCGCGGTCGAGTCAGCAAAAAGCTCATGGTTGATAAATTCGAACAAAATCTCGAGTTCAAACCCACTGGCAGATAAATCTCGATCCCTTTCAACACTAATAATTAAGAACGAAGAAGAAGAAGTTGATATCAATCCCTTCTTCCCACACTTTTGTTGACATCAATCCCTTATCCCCACACTATTGTTTAAACCAGTCCTTTACCATCACCCAATTGTTTACACCCATCCTTTTTCCTATCAACTCACCATGAACATGTTTTTGTACTTTTCCAGCCCGACCCCCCACAAGACCTCGAAGTTTACCCCAGGGATGTTTTCCGATTAATCAATCGCACCTTCATCGATCTCCTGGTAATAAATTTAAGAGAACACGAACTGCATATCCTCCAATCGATTGATTTCGATCGATACACGATCGATGTGATATCGGTGGAGCTGGAGACCAGTCGCAGCCGGGAGGAGTATCCGCAGCTGGTCAGCTTTCTAGCCGGTCACGGCTACGGCGTGGTGCACTTGTTGATTGATACGGCGGCCGGCAAAAAGGATGTGGTGTTTAGAAAGGCTTAGTGGTGTGTGGTGTGGGGGTGTGTGGTGGAAGGTTTAGTGTGAGTTGTGGGGGGTGTGATGTGGGGGTGTGGTGGAAGGTGTAAAGTGTGGGTTGTGGAGGATGTGATGTGGAGGTTGTGGGGGTGTGTGGTGTAGGGTGTAGAGTTTGGGTTGTGTGGGATGTGATGTGGGGGTGTGTGGTGGAAGTCGAGAGTTTATGCTGTGGGGGTGTGATGTGAAGGTGTGGGGGTGTGGTGAAAGGTGTAGAGTCTGGGTTGTGGGGGTGAGATGTGGGGGTTGTGGGGTGTAGAGAATGGGTTATGGGTTTAGTGGTGATCACATGTGTACGGGTTGTGGGGGATGTGGGTGTAGAAAATGTGCGGGTTGTAGTTGTTGCTGATGTAAACTGTAAGACAGGCTGGCACATGGAATTGATGGAGAGTGGAGTGTGGAGTGTAGAGTGAGGGGGTGTGTAGGGTGTAGAGTGAGGGGGTGTGTAGGGTGTAAAGGGTACAATTATTGAGGGTTCGCACAAGATTCTGGTGTTTGAAGTATGACAATACGTTGTTGTTGTTTTTTTTCTTTAGATTGACGAAATGTTAGAATGAGTATGTTACGTTTATCTGGGGGGGGGGGGGGGGTCGGCTATTGTAGCTTATATGGTTGGATAAATGTCAAATGTGAAGCAAAATAAACACTATGCTAAAATACGCCTATATATATATATATATATATATATATATATATATATATATATATATATATATATATATATATATATATATAGGCTTATACCGTTTTATTCCACTACGGTGGTACTTGCCTTCAATTGAATGTTTTATTGTTTTATTTTATTCATATATTAGTCGACGTCCACATAATTATGTTAAACTTTCAAATGTGATGAACGTACGAATCTTTTTTGTAAATAAGAATAATATATTTATTTCATCTTTATAATTGTTTCGCCTTTTTCTTTCAATTAGCAGTTACACTTGTTGTTTTTAATATATATATATATATATATATATATATATATATATATATATATATATATATATATATATATATAAATATATATAATTTTAGATACTCTGTGTATTGTGTAGAGTGGGATAGCGAGTTATAAAGAGGAAGAGAGATAGGTATTGATCATATGCTGCAAGGAGAGATGTATTATTAAACGGTATGTAAATGTTATGCTGAGGTAAATACCTGAATCACAGCGGCCAACGACCCGTACCCTGAAGATTGGAGGGCGTGGTCGTGTTGACGACCGTATGCCCAGGATCCACGGTTCGATACCTGTGTACTCTTAGAACACCTCAAACCTGACGATATTTACGTCAACGGCCTGGTCATGGTGTAGGTCAAGGTCACATCCATTTCATTCAAGCATGTGCAAAACACTTGTAGATCTTCAGAAAAAAAAATGTTACCAATATGTTGAGTGATGTTCTTCTATTCACGCATTATTGGTTGTTTTTTTTTTGCTTGTTTTCTGATCACTTGAAGCGAATGTATGTGTCTTTAATGAGAAACGGAAATCGAAGCATTGGCATAAAGAAAACTGTCAATAAAAGTACAGGTATGTGTATGCTTTAGAGCAGGGGTCTCCAAACTTTTCAGACAGAGGGCCGCATTAACTATCAAATATCAGTTCGGGGGCCAGAGTTACTTCAAGACATCTCTTCGGGGAGGTTGACCCCCCCCCCCCGAAAAACGTATACCGCCCCTTCAATAAAATATAACTTATATAGAAATATATGCGAATTTCAAGTGTGCCCCCCCCCCGGAGAAAAAAGTCCGAAAGAAACACTGTCGGGGGGCCGACAACACACTCGAGGTCCAAGTTTGCTCTCAAATTATTCTTCACGTATTTCATTCTTGAAAATGTTTGTTTACACAGGTATGTTGTTCCAAAATTTGAAAGGCACTTTAATGCAAACGTTTTAATATAAGGAAAATCTTCCTTGGGCAAAAAACTTATAAAAACCCACCCGTTCTTCTGTGAACGTGTCTCTAATGACCTCCAGCTGCAGTTCATCTTTGCAACTGGCCACATTTGCTTCAAAAGGGTTTTGGAACAGTCTCACTATTTCTGCCTTTAAATCCATTGGAATCCACGAAACCGAACTCGAGACTTAAGGGTTAATAATCATGTGCTGTACCGCACGACCACCCCATCCCTACTAGACCCAAATACCTCGAGGCAAACCAAAAACTAATCGTAAATATCGCTTATAATGAGATTGTGAATGGCTTGTTCCATCATGAATGTAAAGAGCTGTTTTCTTGTCTGGGTTTGATCAATTAACCACTTGTTGCAGTCTAGTTGCTCTGTACCTTAACCACGCTAAAATATTAATAATCGCACAAATGGAATTTCCAGTAAATATTTTTGAAAATACAATTCCGAAGGTTAATATATATAACAAAACTATTTTTATGTAGGCTCGAGGTTCTACTTCAACATTGTGATTGTGATGTAAAGTAATGATTGGGTCTTTTATACAACATTGTCTCTTTATATTTAAATCAATACTTTGTTAAAAACGTCACAAAAGCCACACTCTACAATGTCGCTGTGCAAATGTCGAAGTGCCCCTGTTATAGATGGAATGTTAGTTCTCATATGATCAAAGGTTGGCATATCGTGATTTCAAGGTCTGTTGAGCACGAAGACACAAACAGTTTATGGACTGGTGTTGGGGTGGGGTAGGGGTAGGACAGATGGATTGTACACATGGGTGTACACCTGTTGTACAGACACGGAGAATTTTCGAAAACACATGTTCATTTGAATACACACTGAACACACATGTACACAGTACATACACAAAACTCATGCACAAACTAGAAACACACATACACAAACTAGACTCTCATATACACATTTAACATAAGTACGCTAACTAAACACACTCATACACACGCTAAACACACATGTACACATTAAATAAACATGTACATACACTAAACACACGTATTTATAAACGCATACACCAACACACACTCACAAATACACACATAAACGCATGTATACACATTAACACTAAGACACTTATGTTCACAAATATTCATATTGACACACATTTACTGATCTGTAGACATACGCACATAACATACATAGTTATTTACACATTCTCACGAAAATATTACATAAAAACATACTGTGCAAACATATACATCTCTAAACGCATACTCATACGCCTCTAAAATATAAGATATTCACTTCAACTTCATCCACGTCAAGAACAAAAATTTTAATTTTTTTTTAAAACAGGACTGAATTTACTGACGTAGACTAGGGGGTGGGGGTGGGAGGGTGGGGCAGGGGTTACAAGGGGGTTATAACCCCCATAGACCCCCGATATTACAGTTACCCCCACGTTGAGCTACAGCTATTGGCTACAATACACTCGTGTCGTTTGATGTCGAAAGTTTTTATAATACTACAAAAATATCAGTTTTACGGTCTTAAAACCTCAGATGGCCAACTCCCATCTACGCTAGTAGCTGGGTTGGCCAACTCTCATCTACGCTAGTAGCTGGGTTGGCCAATTCACATCCACGCTAGTAGCTGGGTTGGCCAACTTCCATCCACGCTAGTAGCTGGGTTGGCCAACTTCCATCCACGCTAGTAGCTGGGTTGGCCAACTTCCATCCACGCTAGTAGCTGGGTTGGCCAACTCACATCCACACTAGTAGCTGGGTTGGCCAATTCACATCCACGCTAGTAGCTGAGTTGGCCAATTCACATCCACGCTAGTAGCTGAGTTGGCCAATTCACATCCACGCTAGTAGCTGGGTTGTCAACTTCCATCCACGCTAGTAGCTGGGTTGGCCAACTTCCATCCACGCTAGTAGCTGGGTTGGCCAACTTCCATCCACGCTAGTAGCTGGGTTAGCCAACTTCCATCCACGCTAGTAGCTGGGTTGGCCAACTCACATCCACGCTAGTAGCTGAGTTGGCCAATTCACATCCACACTAGTAGCTGGGTTGGCCAATTCACATCCACGCTAGTAGCTGGGTTGTCAACTTCCATCCACGCTAGTAGCTGGGTTGGCCAATTCACATCCACGCTAGTAGCTGGGTTGGCCAATTCACATCCACGCTAGTAGCTGGGTTGGCCAACTTCCATCCACGCTAGTAGCTGGGTTGGCCAATTCACATCCACGCTAGTAGCTGGGTTGGCCAATTCACATCCACACTAGTAGCTGGGTTGGCCAACTCCCATCCACGCTAGTAGCGGGGTTGGAATCTGCATTATCTCATTCATATATTAGTCATGTGTGACCCGTACGCCCCTCTCCCCCTAAAAAATAATTATATTTAAAGCCCTTGAATGCAGACAGCATTTAATAGAAATGCCGCACTAAGCTAAGGACTTAATTTTTTTCTATTTAGTTCAGTTTTCTGCTTTCGGTTATTCTTGTCGTTCGCTCGAATACGCCTTTTGTATAATGGTGGCACGCTTCAGTGGGTTACAGGCTTGGGCTAGTCGGAAGGTTTTCTTTTTTTTGGGATTAGATTGAGTCGTGGTTAATATGTTGGCTAATCTGGGTTAAACCTAGGCTAAAGGATGGTTATGGTCAAATTAACATTTCGCTAAAATATGCGGTAAATAAATTAGCTTTTGACTACAAAAAAATTGTCTCTATAAGCTGACTCTATGCGAAATAATCCTAGAGTAAGTTGACCTAAGGCTAAAATGTACCTGAAATAAATTGACAAAATTAATTGGTTCGTAAAAAAAAAGTTACACTAGGGTAAAAAATGCCTAAAATAAATTGATACAATGGCCACACATGCGCTACTGTATAGCTTGTCTCACCACCATCATTCCTGTGAACCCTTTGTGGCAAAAAGGGGAGCAACCACACCTCGGAGTTGGGAGATTCCTCCAAGTTGGGCCCACGCCATTCCAGGTACTCGTGCTTCGTTCGCGGCTTATCTGTTTCATATTTTTAAACCAACCACAAAACAAAACCAAATTTCTGATTGGTTGAATGCCAGTGTATTTCAAATCGGCGATAAGCAGGACCCGGAATCTCCAGTAATTATATCTTCTGTGAGTCTCACTCAGCCACTATGAGTACCTTGCATTAATTGGACGGGGAGAAAAATGAAATGTCGACTAAATACGCATGATCCAATGAACTAGCCCCCCCCCCCCCCCCCCCGGTGCTGATGGTCTCTTCAATATAGATCTGATTTAAGCACTGTTTGCTATCATTAAGGTCTCTTGCAGACATTTGACACAAAGGAGGGGGGCGGGGTATGAAACTTTGGGGGGGGGGGCACACATTTTTTTCGGGGAGGTGAGGGGCGACACTGGTTAAAGTATTTATGCTCGATATAAATTATATATTTTATTCTATTTCGTCCGTGAAGGTTGTGGACGTGTTCCTGGGGTGGGGGTGGGTGTCAGTCAGAAACAATGTCTGAAACACTCTGATGTCATTTAGTGGGCGGTGTCTCCCGACAGAGAAACATAGCCCTGCACGTGTTTCTGTAGGGCGTGTTGAAGGCTAAGTACACAACGACGCTGGCCGAGCAGTGAATAATTAACGAGGTGAAAATCACGACGCTGATGACGTAGTACACGGTCTGATCGACGCCGTTGATGACGTAAACCAGCCCGTACTGCACCGTGTTGCAGATCAGGCACAGGGACGCCAGCGCCAGGACTATTTTCATCACGCGGATGTGTTTTAAAGACAGGGACTTTTTTTTCTCGCGGAGTCTTTGTCCAGTCGTGCTTAGGCTCTTCACTGTTGTTGTGTCATTTCGGTGAAACAGTTTTGATGAGTTTCTCAGCGCAATAATAATGTTGACTGTTGCTATAGCAATACATACTAGCCGGAGATAAGGTATGATTTTATAATAGATGAAGTTCGTAACGGTAGAGATGTTTCGCCATAAAGACGTCGTTGGTAGACCGTACACGTTGGGGTAGATAACTAGTACATGGATGATTATCTCGTAAAAATAAATGAAGATTAGAATGACGTAGGCGCGTTTTAAGGTGATGAGGTGTTTGAAGTGGAACGGGAAGACAACACAGAGGAACCTCTCTAGGGTGAGGAATACGGTCGTGTCGACGGAGATTTGGTAAAAACCAGACGACGCTATAGACAATTTGGGCCAGTACACGAGTGGGTCCAGGGCGAAGACGACGCCTTGCCGGAACCCCAGGATGTCGATTATATGACACCAGGCGCTGGCCAACCCGAAGACGAGAGTCAGGCTGTCTGAGAGTGAGAGAGACAGCAGAGTCAGTGAGACGCCGTCTCTGACGCCGTGCCGACAGAAGACGAGCGTGTTGGCGAGGTTGCTGAGCAGCCCCAGGGTGCCGATGCTGATCCCCAGGGTCGGGGACAGCAGGTCGGAGTTCCGGTTGGTGGCAGCCATCTTGGACGCGATGGAAGAATTCATTCCCTGCCGTCCAAAGGGAAGTAGTCTTCACCGTTGAGGTGTAAATCTAAATAACTACAACTAAATAGAATCAATTACTTTTTAAAATTCAACTTTTCCTAAAGAAAATATTCAGCTACGCTTTACTACAACTACTTTTTTCACACAAATCTAAACTCTACTAACGAATTGCCTCAACGTTCTTCACAACTGAGAGAGAAAACGACTATTTTTTTATTTTTACTACAAGTTTATACATTGAATGAACTAAACTCTAAGGCCTTTTGAAACTTTTGTTTACAAAAGTTTATGCCCGAGTTCAAAATCAAAGAATTTTTTAAAAATTAAGGGAGGCAACCGAAAAAATAATTGTTTTGAACCCGGTAATAGCGCGTTATCCCCCCTTCATTCAAACCCTATGCCAACTTGGTTCAATAGGTTTTCTCCTAATTACAAGTCTTTTATGTAATTTTTTTTACTGAAAGTTCTAATATTTATGTTCCTTTGAACTGTTATTTAAACACATAAAAGAGAATAAAAAGTGAAATCTTCTTCTTATTTAATCATTTCGATTTTTTAAAGTTAATAATTAAGGAAGGAGTAATTATGTAGGTGTGATAATTACAAGGCACGTCTATTATCGAACTAGAGAATTTTTTCCCCCATATCTTTTCATCTCGCTGGAGAACTTAAACATAAATTATCAAAAACTGTCATAATTGGTCACATTTTTCTCCAATTAATTTCATCTTTTTTTTTTCGAAAAAAAAATATTATACCCTTCACTTTCATTTTTTTTTCGTTTCAGTGCAATTTCACCAAAAAAAATCCAGATTTTTAATTATCCGTACATTTTAAAGCTGATTCATGTAACTACACGCAACTGGCAACGTCTATTTTTTATTAATAATTTTTCCGGTTTTACAACTTTATTTTTGTTGAAAATCTGTGAGAACTCTAAATACAGTATTTTACTTAGAGATTAGACGCGCGGTGAATTGCCATAAAAGGCTACTTAAAAAGTTGTTACAGTGTTTAACTCCATGAAGTAAATCGCTCATTTACAGAGTGAGATGTAATGACTGTTTAAATTGTTCATAAATTATACATTAAAGTTGAATTATTCCATTGAATTATTGTGTTAAAACTGCTAGTGCTACTATCCAAATTTTTATATGAAAATTAAAATTGGAAGGTAAAAATTTTTTTAAAGAAATGTAATATAAAGTTGTCTCCCTTGAAATTGTGTGCTAATGTGGGGAAAATGATACCAAAATCTTTCATGTGTGACGCTAGCTGGTTCCTAAACCTATTAGTGTGACGCTAGTTAACTCCTAAAACTTCAATATGTGACGCTTGTTGTTAATCCCTAAACCTATTAGTGTGACGCTAGTTAACTCCTAAAACTTCAATATGTGACGCTTGTTGTTAATCCCTAAACCTATTAGTGTGACGCTAGTTAACTCCTAAAACTTCAATATGTGACGCTTGTTGTTAATCCCTAAACCTACTAGTGTGACGCTAGTTAATTCCAAAACCTTCAGTGTGGATGAGTGGCTGTTCCCAGCTAATAAACCACGGGGTTCGAACTCGGGACATTTCGTTTTAGTAACCATATGCTTAACCAACCCGACCACGCCAACCTCAACTGTTGGCTTGTAATTTCTTCTTGGTTACACAAAGGCTATGGAGACAAATCCAAAGAGAAAAACCGGCTAAAATCGGAATCAAAGGCAAAAAGGGCGTATAACAAGTTGACACTTAATACGTAATTGTGTTGGAGGAGATTGCTTCCAACACTAGAATTAAGAACCAAGAAGAAGAGCAGTTTGTTATTCAGCTTCAGATGTGTATTTCCGGGTGCAGTTTCTAACAGGTATCTCTTCGGTGGGGCGGTATCCCCCAATCTTCCCGAAGAATCTACCTCCCCCCCTCGGAAAATTTAGTCCTCCCCCCCCCCCCACCCCACCCCCCCCCCCCCCCCCCCCACCCTCCCCCGAGAAAATGTCTGGAAGAGGAAGAAACACTGTCCGGGTGCTATGTTACTGAGCGATAGATAGGCTTGTTTTCCTCTTGTTTCACGTTCAGCGTAAGGCTCTTATGACGTGTAACTTCACTTCCTGAAGACTTTAATTCAGTAACCTTATGTTATTTCTCTGTCCCCGCTGTGTATTGCTAGACAGAAACATGGCGTGTAGCATTCGGTGCTGTAGACTTTGTTTCATCACCATCACCATCATCATCACCATCACTACCCGTCACCCCTGCTGGGGTATGGCCCTGCATGGGCCGCCAATCTTGATGTTTATCCTTGTGGATCTTTAAAAAACTTGATTCTATAACATATGCTAGTTGACTGTTTTAATACTTGGGGAATCTTGATTTTTATGGTTGTGGGTCTTTTAAAAAATGTGATTCTATAACATATACTAGGTGGCTGTTTTAGTACTTGGGGAATCTTAATATTTTTGGTTGTGAAATTGTATTTGTTGTTGGCTGAGGTGGTAGAAGTTCAATGACGTCACCATATATATAATTTCAAAAGTTTAGATAAATTGCACTGTTAAAATTTGGTTTACATTAATTAGTAAATTAATGTGTTAATTATATCATATTTATTGAATTAAAAAAAATAACTAAGGGACACAATCTCTTACTAATGTTCTTAAAAATTATTGAACATAGAAATAATTTCATTAGTAAAATAATTAATAGGATGTTTTTTGTTTGATGTTTGTTGATAAACGTGTTTAAGAAATTGTACAGGAATTTTTGTCATTTTTTAAATATTTCTTAAATTTGAGAAATATACTTTCGCATTTTAAAATCATTAGCTGTATTAAGTGTTTAATAGGTAGAAATATGAACTATTCCAATTCAGGACGTCAATGTTGAATTACACATGTCTAAAAAAATTAAATCTGCATTTGCAAAATTGCAAACTGAATAAAAACATGTTACATACCCTATTTTCGACTAGTTCATATGCCATTTTACTATTACCATTCAATTATTATAAATACAATTTATGTTCATGTCTTTGAAACTGTAAAAAATTACAAAATAAATTATAATTATTATTTTTAATGTTTAAAATAAGTTAATTTAAAAAATTAATAAATTTAAAAAAAACTGCATGATGACTGATATAGATAAAGCTATTTGAATAGGAAGAATGTTTGATTTGGTGTATTTGAAGCTCCAAATTGCGTTTTTGAGGCCATAAAAATGTATCTCATTTTGATGTTTTTATTGTTCAGAATTTAGGTAGGTACTTCTCTTCACAACGATTCAATCCTAGACTGCCTTTCTCTTAACTTTTAAAGTGGATTTATGAAGCAATAAGGCTGGTGAGTAGGTCACCAACGTACTATGGCTCATGCAGGTTTTATTGAGCCGTAGTACTGGTTGGTGACCTACTTACCAGCCCTATTCTAACCAGCATCAACTTTAGGGTGGCCTCTTGATTTGGATTTCTACATTGAAAGCCGAGGAGAGAACTGCTTTTGCTACCGTACTGGGCAGCTTAGTGAAAACCATGGCCCAACCTTGACCTAACCATGGCCCAACCTTGGCCTAAACGTGGCCATACCCATCTCCATTACAGTACCAACAACCACCTTACATCTATCTAAGGAGGATTGTCCATTACTATATCCGGCTATCACAATACAACAAAACTTAATGAGTTATAAAACAAAAATTATATGGCAAAACCTAGAACTTAACACAGGTCATTTTTTAAAGTTAATTTTTTTTAGTTTAATCTAAAATTGACAGACAAATCAGCAGACAAATTAGCAGACAATTATATAAACATCAATGAGCGATTGCATCACACTGAACAAATAAATGATCTCAGCATCATATAAGGTATAAAATAATCTCATACAACAAATGGTTAAAGTAACGGATATGCTACACTAGTTAAAATCTGTGGAAGAAAAATCCTAGAAGCAGCATGGAGACGATGAAATGAGATCCTTCCCTGGGGTGAACTCCAAGGTTGTGATGATGCCCATTGTCCACTAGCCACACCTCCAATGCGACGGGTCGGTCAAATTTCTTGACCTTGGGCGTCTCGGAGAGGACCAGGACATTTTGGTCCTGTTGAGTAAAGCTAGACCACGTGATGTTATGTACAGGTTCAGGGGTCGGGTTTCCGAATTTAGCGAAGTTGGTCCAGGTCGTGACCACAAGGTCAGCCACCTCAAGGTCACCTTGACTGTGCGACGGGTACATGAAAGGGTCAGGACCGACCGGAAGTCCCAGCACGAACCCTTTCTCGTCGGCGTGGGCCACGCCCATCCACGCCGGGTTGGCGGAGTAACTCGGCCGGTGGTTGAACTCAAACACAAAACTGCGAGAGTTCTCCGCCCCTGCCGTAAACCTGCTCGCCTCGTCGATTGTGCACGCGACATCAAACGCGTCCGTCAATGCTGTGACCAGGATATCCCTGAGTTCGAATCTCGACAGCTCTGAGGCATTTGCAGGTAGGTACCCATCCAGGGCTTTTTTTAACAAAGATTCATGATACCTCGGTAGGAACATACGTTCTATAAAAGCTTTCATGTAGAGTTTAAACTCTTCCAGGCTGAAGCCTTTATTATTGGGGTCACTGACCAGCCATGACCCATCGTGGGTGGTGTAACCGGATATGGTGGGGATGTAGACCTTGTCCTTACTGTCCACTAGATGGAGGGGCGTGTCCGGTAGGACGCCAAACACGTTTTCAAGCACAGGAGAGTAGATGGTGCTGCCGTAGTAAGTTTCTTCCTGAAGAAACAAAGTTTGGTTTTTTATTTACTTCATTTAAATGGGAGCTATTTACCCCCCCCCCCCCCTCTTCAAACTCGGCGTTGAGCTATGGATAAGTTAGGGCTAGGGCTAGAGTTATTTAGTTTAGGGTTAGAGCTAAGGGTTAGGGTTAAATTTAGGGTTAGAGTTGGGGTTAGGGTTAGCTATAGATTTGTGGTTGGTTTTTTCGATTAGGATTAGAGTCAGGGTTCTTTAGCACTAGGGTACGGGGGGGGGGGGGGGTAATTAACAGGTGAGTAATGACTTCGGGGGGGGGGCGTAATGTCAGGAGAGGGGAAACGGTTTAGAGGTAATTGACCCAGGGGTAATGGCCTAGACCCCATTTAAATAGGACATAACTGGATTAGTTGTCTATAGCAGTGTCGTACCTGTAAATTGACATCGGTCACATACCTATAAAATAATATCTGTCTACTTTTAAAATGTCGTATGCCACCTACCTGTAAATTGTCATATGTCATATGTCACCTACGTGTACAACGTCATCTGTCGTCTACCCGTATATTGACATCCCTACCTTCAAATTGACATATCTCACCTACCTGTAAAATAACGCTCTGGTTGATGATGACGTCACCGGGTCTGGAACGGATACATTCCAGAAGTTGAGCAGAGAACTCCCCCTCTAGCAGTGAGCAGTTCAGCAGCTGACCCAGCTGTCTGGCCACCTCCCGGGGCGCCTCGTACACCGTTTCCTTGCTTTGGTGACTGTAGGCGCACAGTGCTACAGCCGACTGCATGATGGCCTGAGGGTGGGGGAGTGGGGGGGGGGTAGGTTAGTTTTTTATCTAGACCGTTTGAGGTGGGGGTGGGGGTGGGGGAGTGGGGGTAGGTTAATGTTTGATATAGAACAATTTGATGGTCGTACATGATAGTTTGTGTTAGATATTGACTAGCTTAGGATGACAGTACATTATAGCATATGTTGGATATTCAACAGTTTACAGTGCACTCTGCCCCGTTTACTGACCTCCTAGAATTTGACCTTTGCACCCTGACCAAGTACTCACCCTTTGGAACTTGACCTTTGCAGCATGACCTTTGAACTCTCCCCGTGTACTCACCCCCTAAAACTTGACCTTTGCAGCCTGACCCGTGTACTCACCCCCTGAACTTGACCTTTGAACTCTCCCCGTGTACTCACCCCTTGGAACTTGACCTTTGCACCCTGACCAAGTACTCACCCCCTAGAGCTTGACCTTTACCCCTGACCCATGTACTTACCCCCCCCCAGAACTTGACCTTTGCCCCCTGACCCCTGTACTTACCCCCCCCCCCCCCTAGAACTTGACCTTTGCCCCCTGACCCCTGTACTCACCCCCTGGAACTTGCCCCTGGTTAGCGGTGACAGCGTCAAGATGGATGCACTCAATGACCCCGCACTGCCTCCAAACAGCGTGACCTTCTGGGGGTCACCGCCAAAGTTCGCGATGTTGTTCTGTCAAGTAAACATGAGCGTTATCTCCCCTTGATAAATTGAATATAAATGTTTATAACACATTTCTTACTTGATAATTGCTTCCCTTTTAATATGCCGCTAAATTTTTATGAGTTACTTCCCTTTAATAAATACTATTGCCCCTTACCCCTTGATTTATGTCACCCGACTTATTAAATGTTACATTCTCTTTTAAAATTTAAAATAAATATTTATATTTATTTAAATGTTATATATATATCTATAATATAAGCGGGCTGAGCGTGTGTCAGTCTGTCATCGTTATAGATTTTGAAACCATAAAAGTAAACATCGCACCATGCTGTGCTTTTCAGTGCACCGCAGTGTCTTATTATAGGTAATAGAGTAGGGTTTGTTTATATAACGGCATAGAGCTATTTTATAATTTCCACTGTTTGTACAATTTTGCATAACGTAAAGAGAATATTAAATACACGCACATTGCTAAAACATTTATCAAAGGATCAATGTCAAATATCGTTTTCGTTAATATTCCCAGAAAAAGTGGATACATATTAATAACATAATAACAGTACGGTAGAAAAATCTAATTAAACTGCTTAGTAATTTTGTCAATGGAGGTAATTCAAAGATAAATTGAACTCACGCTAAAAATGTGAATGCAAAATCTGCAAGACGGAATAATTGTTGGAATAATATAATTAGCAAAATGTGAATGCAAATTATGCAGACGTGTAAGAGTACATTATTGTTGGAATATTATTATTAGCATTGATTGATAAAAGGCTATCTTTTATTTATTTTGTTCACTGAATGTACTGTTTACTAATTATAATTTTTAATCAACTATTCTCCATTACTATATTAAGTCATCACGTTCATTAGGTGCGCAATGGTTTTAGTCATGAAACTTTATTGTAAATTTTTAAAAGTACTGAAAAAAATGCATGAATTTATAAAGTGCAATATGGTCGGTAAAACACGGATATTCTAAATACTGCCTTTAATTTATTTGCGGAAAAGCTAGGGGTTTTATAACAGAGGCGTAGCAAGAGGGGGGGGGGAGGGTGGAAATCGAAAGTTTGAGGGAGGTGGGAGGGTGTAAATCGAAATTTTCCGCCGGCGCTCGGAAAGGGCGCGATTTGGCGCTACGGGATAGACTGAGCAATATGCCTTTGTGATTACATTTAAATTGAGTTTATGTTGAGTGTTGTGTTTGTTTTTTCGTTTTTGTTTTTTCTTTGCGTTCGTTTGTGTTGTATTTAGTTTTGTTCTGTTCCCAACTTGGTACATTTAAAAAAGATTTACCGTGTGTTGTGGTTGTGGTTGTGTTGTGGTTGTGGTTGTGTTGTGGTTGTGTTGTGGTTGTTTTGTGGTTGTGTTGTGGTTGTGTTGTGGTTGTGTTGTGATTGTGTTGTGGTTGTGTTGTGATTGTGTTGTGGTTGTAATGTGGTTGTGTTGTGGTTGTGTTTTGTTTTTGTTTGTTTTGTTCTGTTCCAAAGTTGGTATATTTTAAAAAGATTTACCGTGGCGGAGCACGGGATGCAGCTAGTATATATATATATATACATATATATATATATATATATATATATATATATATATATATATATATATATATATATATATATATATATATATATATATATATATATATATATATATATATTATATATATATATATATATATATATATATATATATATATATATATATATACATATATGTGTGTGTATGAGAGAGAGAGAGAGTGTGTGTGTTTGTGTGTGTGTCTATGTGTGGACACTATAGTTTTAAAATTAAAAAAAAACATTTATATTTTTTTAATATGTAATATATATATATAAATATATATATATATATATATATATATATATATATATATATATATATATATATATATATATATATATATATATATATATGTATATATATATATGTATATATATATATATGTATATATATATGTATATATATATATATATACGTTTGTGTGTGTATGAGAGAGAGAGAGTGTGTGTGTGTTTGTGTGTGTGTGTCTATGTGTGGACACTATAGTTTTAAAATTGTGAAACTGGTTTACCTATAATTGCCAGCCTTAGGTAACATCCCCCCACACCCCCACCCCACCTATAAAAAGACACTAACCTTGACCCACTCTAGGGCCAACACCTGGTCCAGGAGTCCAAAGTTCCCCGGAATCGTCTCGTCTAAAGTGGACAGGAAACCGAATACGTCAAGCCTGCAAGGTGCGATACCATGTAGTTAGATAGTATCGTGTGCGATACCATGTTGTTAGATGGTATCGTTCTTGAAATAATAACTCGAGCACCACCAAGTTATTCGATTATATTTTGTTCAATCAACGACAGCTCTGATAACGACAAGTGGTAGTATCGTTCTTTAAACGTGGCACCGATACCAACAAGTTTTAATCTAAAGTATCGTTGATGAATTTAAGAGCCTCTATAAGATAACCCTGTTTCCGGTTAGACACACCTACTATAAATTTCATTGCATCACTTGAACTCAAAGTCTAATCATAAATTAATGTGTGGATACGACTGTCGCATTTCTCATTGCCCTGACCCAAAAATGACTAAATAAAGTCATTTAATGACCAGATTCATAATTGGACTCTATGAATTGACCAAATCATATGGTCCATTGACCTGACTTGTTGATCTGATTTAATGACCATACCAAATGACCTGACCTAATGAACCAAACCAATGACCTTACTCAGTGACCTAACCCAATAACGACCCAACATGACATGGCATAATGACCTAATTCAATGAAGACTAAATAACGCATTTAATAACCTTATTCATAGATTTGACCCTTAACTTGACCCAATGACCTGGCTCGTTGACCTGACCCAATGACCTAATTCAATGTCCCGATTAACTGACCTAATGTGATGACCTAATTAAATAACCAAATTCAACGACCTGACCCATTATCGGCCACAGAGTCTCTATTCAATGACCTTTACCCAATGACCTTCGCAAATACCTGACCTGATGAAACAGAAGACCTACCTGTAGTTGATTGACACCACGGCCACGCCCCTGAGTGCCACATTGGTGAAGTTGTACAAAGCCCCGGTACCGCCGTAGAAGCCCCCTCCGTGGATAAACATCATGGTGGGAACTAGGGCGTGGCTCTCGTTCTTGTATCTGCTCGGGGTGGGGTGGGGGGTGCATGACAACAAAGGTTTGAGTTAATCCGTTAAGGTGTGAAAATGTAACATTTTTGACACGGTTAAAGAAAAGAAAACAGGATATTCTTACGAAGACTCAGCAATTGGTCAGTGCAAAGGGCGAAAAAATAAACATTCTCAAAAGAAAAACATTACGTAATGATAATCTAATTTTAAGTCTAATGCTAAACTGTGTAAAAATTGGAATCAAAGATGTGTGTATTATGAATCAAGCACTAAACCCAGGTGTGGACTGGCCCGCAGGTCTACCAAGAACAATTCCGATGTTCCCCCTGGTAAAAAAAATTCCGGTGGGGCGCCAGGTAAAATAATTCCGGTGTGGCGCCAGGTAAAAAAATTCCGATGGGGCCCCAGGTAAAAAAAAAAAATTATATGGGCCCCCAGAAACGGTTCTGTACTAGACCTACTCGTGTTTGGATTAAAAGAAAATAATTTGTCGCGTGAATTTTTATCGAGCTAAACATGATCGTCAGGCTTTGATAGGGGAAAAACATTCACAAAGAAAATTCTAATCTGGAGTTTGGGGGCAGGGGGGGGGGTAGGGGGCTTTCAAAATGGTCCCTTGGACAAGCCCACAAAACCTTCTCTTTGAGCAACAAGATAAACTTATTTAAAAGTGAAGTTTACTTGGGCATGTAGATGTCCAGGAACAAGCAATCTTCATCGAAAGGGACGTTGGTCAGGGGAGGGTCATCTTTGATGATCCTCTGGAGACATTTGGCACCGTGAACCAGCGCATCTTTGACGTCACTCCAGATGTCAGGTGGTTCAGGACGTGCAAGTCGTAGAGTTCCTGGAGAGGTGAGCAGTACAGGTGTTGGCGTGTGTTGTGGTTAGGTGGTGGTGTGGTTGGGTGGTGGTGTGGGTTGGTGGTGTTGTGGTTTGATGGTGGTGTGGCTTGGTGATGGTGTGGTTTGGTGGTGGTGTGGTTTGGTTGTGTGTTTTGGTGGTGGTGTGGTTTGGTGGTGTTGTGGTTTGGTGGTGTTGTGGTTTGGTGGTGGTGTGGTTTGGTGGTGGTGGGGTTGGGTGGTGGTGTGGTTTGGTGGTGGTGTGGTTTGGTGGTGGTGTGGTTTGGTGGTGGTGTGGTTGGGTGGTGGTGTGGTTTGGTGGTGGTGTGTTTGGGTCATAGTGTGGTTTAGTGGTGTGTTTTGGTGGTGGTGGTAAAGTTTGGTGGTGGTGTGGTTGGTTGGTGGTGTAGTTTGGTTTGGTGGTGGTGTTGTTGGGTGGTGGTGTGGTTTACTGGTGTGTTTTGGTGGTGGTGTGATTTGGTGGTGGAGTGGTTTGGTGATGGTGTAGTTTGGTGGTGGTGTGGTTTGGTGGTGGTGTGGTTTGGTGGTGGTGTAGTTTGGTGGTGGAGTGGTTTGGTGGTGGTGTGGTTTGGTGTGGGTATGGTTTGGTGGTGGTGTGGTTTGGTGATGGTGTGGTTTGGTGGTGGTGTGGTTGGTGAGGTTGAGTTTGTTGATGTAGTTTGTTGGTGTGGTTAGTGTGGTTGGGTTTGTTGCTGTAGTTTGTTGGTATTGTAATTTGTTGGTGTTATATTGTAATATTAAGAACACAGACCTGCGACACCTAACAGGTATCAGAATTTACTGTTTTCAAAAGTTGACTAAGATTAAATCTGGGCATGTGTGGCCGACTCCCCCCATCCCTCTCACCTGTTGGTGCTTTGGCGTACCGGACCCCGAGGAAGACCTCCAGGTCCATGACGTCACTGATGTTGTACCTCCGACCTCTAACCTTTCCATACTGTGTCTGCACTGTGCTGTACTCGGTGTCTTGCTGTACCGGATAATTAGGGAGAAAACAGATTTTTTTTTCTCTTTTTTTTTGTGCCTCAGACATGTAATTTACAGCGTCAGTTGTGTGTGTTCGCTTTAGTATTACAGTTTTCATCATCGGCTTGTGAGGACTGATACAGATTTGTTTTTGTGTGTGTGTTGAAAACCAAAAAATTCATGCATTACAGCTGCAGAGCTTAATAACAAATCCCAAATAGTGGTGTTCTTATTTAAATAACGTCTCATATTATAATAGTTAAGTATTTAAAAATTAAATCATATATCTAATAAAAAATTGTTTTAAGCAAAAATGCATTTTCCTTTCTTTTCCTTTTGTGACAATAACTTATATCTTATTTTTTATTGCCTCATTCCCCACTTTCTGCCCCTCACGTCTAGCCCGACCGAAAGTATAGCTAAGACTGTGTGTAGTATAACTTACCTCCCTTGATACTGGAGGTGCCGACAAGGATAGGACAACCATCCAAGCTAGACACAAATATTGTGTCAACAAATGCATCCTTAGCATTAAGAGGCTGAAAAGTATCCGATGAATTATACCATGAGTAAATTGTCTTTTTGATACAGGGAGTTTTTTTATATATATCTTATATATATATATATATATATATATATATATATATATATATATATATATATATATATATATATATATATATATATATATATATATATATTGTATTAGAAGTCCGAGCATTCTGACAAGCAGTTAAGGATGATTAATAAACAACATGTAGACCAAATGCTAGTTATTGTAAAATGGGATTGAAGAAACCCCGTTATGTAATATATTGCTTAACCCTAACACCCAAACCCTGTAATTTTATATTACACCAGGTAATATGTTATTTTACTTAAACCTACACTTTAACCTCTGTAGTGTCACATATTACTTTACACCCCGGTAATATAATTAGCCCTATATACGTAAACTCTCGTTAATATATATTGTCATAATATATTGTCGGATACTTCGTATAACTTTTCGTCCATGTACTACTAACAAACAATAGCCGGAATTGAATCGGTGTGAGATGACTCAACAAAAACTTTAATCTGCATACAATGTCTTTAGCGATATACGGCTGCCTATGGGGGCGTGCAAGTAATAGCACGACCTCATCACGTGATGAATACATTAACTACCACAACCGTCTACAAAAGGGACATCACTGCCAACACATCACGTTCAGGTCTGTGACACGCTTATCTGTCCAAACTCACACGGTATGAAGACCGTAACGTTGCCGGCAGACAGACTGTAAATTCTGCCATCACAGTTTACAGACTGTAAATTCTGCCATCAAAGTTTACAGACTGTAAATTCTGCCATCACAGTTTACAGACTGTAAAGTCTGCCACCACAGTTTACAGACCATATAGCGTGCTTTCATACAGACCTTAAAGTCTGCCGACATCAGTCCGTATAGTCTGTCGGCACACATACTGGTAAAGTCTGCCGTCACGGTATACAGAGCTATAAGTCTGTCGATATCAGATCGTGAGGTCTATCGGCAGGCAGACCGTAAAGTCTATCGACATGACATACAGACGGCTCAGGCGTGAAGAAATTAGTGAACACAGTTCACCTCAGTCACATGACCATCGCTGCTACTTTATCCTAATCGTTTGTCCTTTATCCTAATCCCTAGTAATTTATCCTGGTTTCTCATATTTGTTTGATGACTAGTTTATGGTCGTATTTAAATTATTTTAGTGACTAATTAATTATCATACAAAATGTAGATATTATTGTGTTGTCATCAGGAATTAATTAAACTAGAAAGAAATCGTTCCATAAGATTAAGAAGGTTCCAGTAGAGTCACGTGATTTGCCCACAAACAAACGCACATAACGTTGAAAATTTTACATTTTTCTACCAGTAAACAATATTTCCTTGAGATTTTTTTCTAAAGCTTTTTTGGTGACTTTTTTCTTTAGGTAGAGTTCACTTCACTTCTTACATTTTTAAGCTGCCTCCGTTTCTATTGAAAACAGGTTGTGTCGACTTATATAACGATGCGAGTAACGTGAATATTTTGTTAACAATCTGACGTTGTTTTCTGTACGGTGTGTAAGACTTTCTGTCACTCACCGAAACTTGGAAACTCACACACTCAACTTCTTCATAAAGCACGTACACATAACAAACACACAACACACCAACATCCTCAGCACAGCACACGTGCTGTCTACTCAATACATCATGAGCCTTTTAAAAAAACAGAAGGTCCCTAAACCCTGTTCATAACGCGTACTGTAACACATATAAGACCTACACATAACAATGACCTACAAAACATAGCACAACACACAGGCCATACATACAACACATACATACATACAACATTGTGGTCCTACACACGTAGAGCCCATACACACCACAGATGACATCCAATAAAACTCTATAACCAACACATAGCGGTCTAGACCGTTACTTAACCAAATATGTGATGACTACTAAACAGAAAATAAATAATTAGGCCTAATTAGTAGTGCATTCTTCTTACAAGCTGCCTCGTGCATGTTTTGTTAGGCGTTATGCAAATTTTAAAACTTTTCTATATTTTCGAAGTTTTTACGACAGAATAAACATTCGCATGCACGGACACACACGCATACATATTCCTACATACAAATACCGACTACATACAATGCATATGCATGTATATATATTCATATTTACATAGGTATTATATATATGTATATGTATAAGTATATATCTATATATACATCTATATATATAGGCCTATATAATATATATATATATATATAGGCCTATATATATATATATATATATATATAGGCCTATATATATATATATATATATATATATATATATATATATATATATATATATATATATATATATATATATTTATTTATTTATTTATTTATTTATTTATTTATTTATTTATTTATTTATATATATTTATATATATAAAATATTATATAATTAATATAATATAGGCATATATATATATATATATATATATATATATATATATATATATATATATATATATATATATATATATATATATATATATAGGCCTATATATATATATTTATATATTTATATATATAAAATATTATATAATTAATATAATATATGCATATATATATATATATATATATATATATATATATATATATATATATATATATATATATATATAGGCCTTACATCCATTATAAATCTGTGTGTCTCCATATACATACACACACAGTCAGATACATATATAGGTATTTATAAGCCCTAGGCCTATACGAATTGAATAGTTATATTCCTCTATATATTTATGTAAGCCTGCGAAGGCCTTTATATCTTTTATACATTATGTGAAACGATATTTTTAATAATGAATCACTAAATAAATCAAGGGAAAGCACTCGATCATCGAATGAACTAAACACCAACTTACCGGCTCAGCGGGTGTGTGTGTGTGTGGACTCAGGTTGTGTGTGGACTCAGTTTGTGAGATACCGCTCTAATTATTCCAGCCACATCTGCATTAGTCAAGCCATCGCCACCTGGTCTATTTATAGCGCTTGGCCAGGTCAGCAGCCACCACGCCAACCCCCTCTCTACAACCCCCCCCCCCTCCCCCACCATATCTCTCCCTCTCGGGCAGTAAAAGGTGTGGTACCCCTAACCCCTTCCCTCCTACGTCTACTCACACAACTACCTCCGATTCCCCACCCCCACCTTGTTTAAATACCTTTATCCCCTCCAAGCCATCAACAATGTTGATTAGGAGTGATACGCTCCACCCCCTCCCCTACCCCCTTATCTTAAAACGATATCCGTGTTCAGAAATTTGACCAAGGGCATCTCGTTATCACTGTACAAACTACAGACACTTCTGTCCCAACTACTTAAGAAAACCACAGCCACTTCTCTAAAAACAACACAACCCCACCCCCTCCCACCTCTAACACCTGGCAAATCTTCAACCCCCCCCCCCTCCGCCCATCCATTCCCTGGGTCAAAAGATACACGTACCCCACAATCGAAATCCCCCTGGCTATCCAATCCCTTAGAAACAAATCATCTCTCACGTGACCCTGGGGTAGAGACCCCCCCCCCATTCGTTGTTTGTTTATAGATTGTAGTATTCCATCCAATTGTTTCATTATTTACCTTTACACAAAGCTTAGACTTTTTAATTGATTTCGTGCTCGTTTCGGGTCAATCCATGTTTTTAATGTCAAGTTTATAGTCAACAATGCCTCAGCTAATAATCTCGCAACGGTGATTTCACAATCGCTTAATTAAGTTATTTGGAGGGGGGGGGGGGGAGATTTCGACTTGGCATTTAATGAAAAAAATAATGAAAAAATATAATATAGAGCTAGTATATTTTTTTAATTACTAAACATGAAAAACTTTCTTTGAAAAATAAAACGAATGTGCTATATCGACGGTGACGATAAGCTTATAAGTGGGTCACCGCCTTTTCGTTTTCGTTCTTACCAGATAGTATTATTCAAACCAAATGTGAATATTTTTTTTAAACGCTAAAATAATAATCATTAAAAAAGTTTTAAAAAAACCCACGTTTTCTGATTGAACTAAAAAGTAGAAAATAAATACTATACATCACAATAATGCAAGCGATCACTCTACTATAAGCGATGAAAAACGTGGGGCGCCGAAGTAAAAGTTATATTACTATTGATTAGATAATACTATTGACTTTTATTAGGGAGCTTGTAGAGAGTCAACAGTATTGGAAACTGTTAGAAAATCACGGCGCCCCACGTTTTTCATCGCTTATAGTAGAGTGATCGCTTGCATTATTGTGATGTATAGTATTTATTTT